TCAATAGAAAGAATGCATTTTACACTACTGTTTAAATAGTCACAATTTCACAGTAAACCCCATAGTTACTCCTGAACGGGGTAAATCACCGCATCCATGAGGTGTTCTGATAAGATATTTATTTTGATTAATTGACAACCATAATTATTAATAAGACACTTTTTCAATTGCAAAGAACAATAAGGACAGAAAAAATAAGGAAATTGTTGGTATAATAAACGCAAAAATACACGATGAACGCACCGCCATCGTCTCCACGTTCGCTCACCCCTAAATCATTACTCCGGCCGGCCCCACACGAACGAAATGTCATCCCAGTCCAATTCCGTCAAAAAGTTATCTGACAAGGTCCACCACCATGTCCTCAAACTTAAACCAAGCTAAAAACGCAGGACTGTAATTGAAAATTCCAACACGATATGAGAGAGAAGAAAAGGGGGGGACTGAGAAAGAAACAAAGAAAGTTGTCAAGCGTCGCTTGCTGCCAAAACCCTCGATCTCGAAATTCTAAGCAAAGCCAAGAGCCACAGCTAACAATCTCATCTTCTTCCTCACTCTTTTCTCTGCTGAGGGCGAGGGGTTTCTCAATGGTAGATCTTGAGAGCTCTGAGGTCAGTTTGATTGGTTTCTTTAGTTTCATAGTCTCTTTGTGCATTTTGAGTTTGAGATGGTTAGATCTGAAATCGGATTGTGAAATTGAGCAGAACAGTAATTTACGTTAAATTTCTGTTTATTTTGGAAGAATTTCTTGAATTAGTGTCTTTTATAGTAAGCATTTCATCGAAGTTCGCATGGGATCGTCGAATTCGAGCTCTGATGTCGTTGTCTTGTTAGCGAGCTCTGATGCTCTCGTCAGTTCCAAAATGTGAACTTTGGGGATTTGGATCTTTAAGAGTAATAAAGTCAAGTACTGTTTATAATAGTAATAATAATAATTTCATGTCATTTTCAGTGACTGTATATCATGTTTGTAAATTGTTTGGGTGAGAATCAATATCCTGTCTTTGTCTAATTCTTTCACGCTATCTTCATCTTGTTGAGCTTCAAATTTTTTTTCATTATTTGATTGTGTGTGATTGATCTTGTTGGACGTTGGTAACTTTGAAATGTGAATTAAGTTGTTTGCTTGATCAATTTTACTTTATCAATGAGCAGTACCGCGTTTAATCTCGTACCAAATTCTCGTTGGGAGTAGTTATGTCCAAGTTACCCATCTAAAGTTTGAAGTGCCCCAGTAACATGGTTACAGCTGATAAAGAGTCTTCTAGTGTTTAATGTATCCTAAATCCCTTATACATGCTCCACAATCCGAGTTGAAGGTGGCAGTTAGATAATAAGGGGAAAATTTTCTATTTTCTTTTTCTAACAGCAGCAAGAATTAAATTGTCACTTCTACCAGCCAACTAATTCTAAGTGCCCACAAGTACCAAATGCTTCGAACACTTGGACATTTGAGACACTTCTCAGATGCCCCAATGGCACTTTTATGTACAGAAACTATGATGCGATCTTGAAGCTTTTGCATGCAAGAGGTCAATAATGTTTTATCAGCTAAAGGTTTGAGATGATTTTCGTTCAACTTTGGCCTGACTTCTTTTATTGAAATATAATTAGTTAATTACATATTTAGACCTTGTTTTAGGATTTTCATATCAAGTTTAATCGTGTATGTAATACTGTGATGCTTTGTTCTTGATTCTGTATGAGTAGTAGATTTCTTCTCTGGCGAATACTTTATAGTTTTCCCTATGTCTATCCTCTTTTTACTCATGGGTATTCTCTAAACTCTCGCTATTTGATCCGTTATAGTTTTGAGGGTGGTTATGGAGATAGAGATATATGCACAGTTTGGCGCTTTCTGGGATTTCTATATAATTTTGAGTTCTATATGCATATATGTAAGCATTACCCCCTAAAAATAACAAGTTGCTGGACTACTGATGACATCTTTAGTCAATTATTTGTTTAAGTACATGGCTGTGTGCATATTTACATTAACAGCTATACCTCTGATTCAGATTTTTTGAAGATTATTTATCGGCTATTTCGAGTCAAACATGACACTTGTTACTTGTGTCGTTTCTATGTAGCGATTCTTTTTATTAAATTAGTTGGAGGCACCAGAACATTAATGTGGCTTTCTGGATGCTCTGGAATTATGATATGTTCAACTTTAAGGACCACACAAGTGTAAGAACCCTTTTTTTTTTGGGGTGGGGTGGGGGGGGGGGGTNGTGGGTGGGGGGGGGGGGGGGGGGGAGTTGAATAAGGTTATGGAGATAATATAAAGATTTTCCTGGAGTTCTCTGAAAGATAGAATAAAGTGGTAAGGCTTTGAAGATGGTGAGGAGATAATCGGATAGATGAATGAAAAGATAGTGGGAATGTCTAGTAATAAGAATGGATCTTTCTTGAAGTAATTGGTGGAAAATTATGGGGAATGTCTCAGATAAGGGTATAAGTGATTTGTATTGAGACAAATGTTGGTTTGTAATAGGAAAGATCATGAGAGCTCTTCAAGAGTATATAGAAAGTAATCAACACATGGAGCATACACAAGATATATAAGGTGTTTCACCGCTGAACTAGGTTACATCAACCTACCTAGCACCTCAATTAGAATTTCCTCAAAGCCAATATATTAGAACTTCCACCTGAAGTTTTCAGACTACAACACACCCTCTTCTGCACTTTACACCCACAAGTTTGCAGGACTACACCACTCTTAACACCCCGAAGAATTCACGCATTTTACAAAGAGAATTTCCAGATGTTCTCTCATTACAAGATATGTAGGAACAAATATTCACTCAATACAATAGAAACTCGCTCGATTTCCAATCCGAGGTTCTAATGGCTTGCTACGCTTAAAGTAAGATGTGATTTAGGGATACTTAAGATTTTGGCTTGGGAATAGATTGCTTTGAAGTTTGAATAGTAAGGTAATTTGATTGGCAATAGCTCTTCGATTTGTGGTGTTTGAAAATGATTTGAACAATTAAATGACAATACTATAAATAGCCAAAATGATGCAATAGTTAGAAACAATTCTGTTGGAGATTTTTTGACAATGGCTGAAATAGAAAGGGCAAGTGGGAGACAAGATTTGATAAGTTGACGAAGGACAATAAGGAGTTTGATAGTTTGTCTAACTTGATCATTCGACAAGTCGTTATGATTTGAAATATGAGCACAAAGTAGATTATAAAATGATAACAATTTCGCCCAAAATTATTGTGTTCATACTAGTTGAAGAACCTCTCTCTTTGTAGAATAAATAATCCCATTGATTAAAATAATCTATGGGTGAAAGAGTTGAGCGGGTGAGAAAAAGCGCTAAAAGTCAAATATGATGGCATGCTCTATCTTTTGCATGAAATACTCTAAAAAGATTTCAACATGAATATAAAGGAACAATGTTTTATTTCGGCTGATATGAGAAGCTTGAATAAAATATCCAAGGACACATTCATCATTATAAACATAGTAAAAGATGATGTAGATAGAACAAGGATTGTATTTTCATCCTTTACAAGAAAAAGATCTTCAAGGAGACAAAACGGTTAGGGGTAAAAAACAACTATCACATTCAAGTAAAATAATCAAAGAGCTATAGAGAGCTCATATGTGTTGCATGCTTTTTGATTAAATTATTTTTCACTTGTTGCTATTCTTTTACCCATATATTATTTTAATCAATGAGATTATTTATTCTACAAAGAGAGATGTTCTTTAGCTAGTATGAACACAATACTTTCGGACAATTTTTTTAATCATTTTATAATCTATCTTGTGCTCATATTTTAAATTATGATGGCTTGAGGAATGATCAAGTTAGACAAGCTCTCAAGCCCCTTATTCTTCTTTGTCAACTTATCAAATCTTGTCTCCCACTTGCCTTTCTATCTTAGCCATTGTCAAAATATCGTCAACATAATTGTTTCTAAGCATTGTATCATTTTGGCTATTTATAGCCTTGCCACTTGATTGTTCAAATCATTTTCATACACCACAAATTATAGAACTATTGCCAATCAATCACCACCATTCAAAACAATATATTCCTGAACCAAAATATTAAGTGTCACTAAATCACATCTTACTTTACTATTAGCAAACTTCACAAATTTTACCCAAGACTCATGACATACAGAGCCTCCATTTGCTTCTACTCCAACCGAGATCCCAAAGACTGATGTAAGTGCCCTTGGTCTTGGACTTAGATCACTCTGCTTGTTTGCTTGCTTGCTTTCTTTGATTTGCTTGCTTTGTTGATTTGCTCCATTATTGATTTTGCGTTGTATAGCTCATGAGCATTCATTTGTCATCCATGTACTAGCTGAAAAGTACAACCCTTAAACACAATATTAGTACACATTAATTTAGTTTTCATTAGTCAAAATATAGGGTTCATAGTGAGCAGGATAGCTAGTATACTACTCTATGCCATAAAGCTCAATCACAAAGAAATGAAGTGTCAAATATGTATTTAAGAGTTTTGCAAAGGTCATCTTTGTAAATTAATAGATACTCTTTTAAGCTTGCACATGACATTATATATTTTTTGTCAACAAGGCAAATACAAGTTGTCAATAATCATGGAAGTAACTCATGGACTGCAACCATGATAGGGGTTACCTTTACCTGGTACTTTTTTTTCCACTTTCATCCACTCTATTTTGTTGACTGTACCCTCTCTGGTGAAACTCCATGCAACCAAGATATGATAATTTAATTGCCATCTGTGTCACCCTTTTCTATATCTTTGACAAGGATATTGTACTGATACATTGTGGGTTTAGTTTATTCACTTCATCATCTATCTTAAGTTCTTAACAGGGCACAGATGATGATTGAACGTCAGATACCGACCAATTTACTTTTGATTGGCAGGTTATAATCATCTGACTTCATTAGCTGCATCATGGGCATTACTTCAAAGTGGCTCAAATCATTGGTTGGACTTAAAAAGCAAGAAAAATCACAGAACTCAGAGGACGATGGATATGTGAGTGGAACTCTTAATCTTCTCAATTTAGAACGATTTGAGTTATTTTTCTTCCCAATCTACTGGGTTTTAAAAGGCAAGCAATATGGTGCAACTTTTTCATCAACTTTGTCTTTGAGCATTTGTAGGGGAAAAAATGCATGCATGGTATTCACAGGCCTAATCTTTGTATAAGTAGGAGCTGTTCATGTCAAACACGATCCTGTCTCCAGCAGAATGTGGTAAAGATCACCAATCATGGCTCATGAAATATCGTGGCAGCAGCAGTTCGTTCCAACTTCAGCTTGACTAAGTCTTGAAACCAACAAACCTTGAGAATAAATTATGGAAAGAGTCCTGATACCAAAATAAAAGTGGGTTGTGATTTGTTCATTGTGATGAAAGTTTCTATTCTGATAAGCCATAATTTTTGGCATATATCGTAAGAAATAATAAAATTTCCAATTTTTGCAAAAGGAGTTAAGGATGAAAATTTTGAACCTAGCATAATGTTGAGAAAATGATGCACCAGGATGAGCCAAAATCATGAGCGCAGTATCTTAAAAAGGATCATGCTCTAATTTGTGAAGAAAATCTTAAAAATAAAATTTTAGTATGAACCTAGAATTGATTTCTAAAAGATAACCTAGCATTTGACTGGAATTGAGAGTTGAAGCAAAGGACCAAAAAAGATAAATTCCTATGCAGTTTATCATTTTAGTAAATTGTGACCAATCACTCTCATCGCATTTGGTAAATTTTAAAATTATTTAAAATGGCCCATATTTGTCAGTACGTCAGTGTCCATTTGGTTTACATGTTGTAAATCTGGCTCCAAATATTTGGGTAAGGCTTGAAGATTGTAGTTATGAATGTAACGTTAAGTATTCAAATATAGACAAAAAACACAACTCAAAAATTTACTTGATTAATCAAATTAGTGTAGCAATGGGCATGCTGGCAGAGGAAGCCTCATGGGCTCACCTCTCAATAGCCTCGAGCTTTTCTTGTCTGCCTTCAAAAATTACCTGCTTGACTGCATAGGAACTGCAGTTACAGCAAATGGTTGCTTCAATCCATACATAGGCAAAAATAAACATCAACATCAACTCTAACCTAAAGTAGACAGTAAATACAAGGATACAAGTACAACATTAAAAATGACTTGAGTACATTTAATGTAAATAAAAATTAGGTCTATGGATGATGCTCAACTCTGTCCTTAGAGAGTAGTTAACTGCTAAATACTTGTCATCATCACAAATATATATGTAATAGCATTTTATGTCATTTTCACAGTGGTTATATTTTTTTTCACTTTTATCTGATCCATTAAGCTAACCCTACAATACGCTTACCCTACAATACGCTTAAGAATAATTAAGATGCCTCTTTTTTGCAGATTCACGTTGACATGTTTTACATGTGTTATGCCACCTTTAATATTCATGTCAAAGTGTTATTGGTACAAAAACATCCAATCATAGAGGCCACTGGTTACATCCTGATTGTACCATAATCAACCACTCTTGCCCAGCATTAATTGCCTTTTGAGAGATATAGTTTAAATTCTCAAGTTATGAACTAGATGAACTTGTTGAATTTGTTCTATAGCCATTCTGTTAGGAGAAATGAGGTGTTTAACACATCAGTTTGTGCTGTTTTCTTTTCCATAATAAAGCTACAGCATGTTCCTTGATTAGAATTTTTAGTCAAGTAATTTTCTAATAATACAGGTATTTCCCAAGCTGAAAAATTGATCGTGTTTTAAATAACTATCTAGTAAATACACAACAATTTGTAGGAATCAGGGCAATTTCTATTCCAACAGGGCAGTTTTTATTCCAATGACTTGACTATGATTTATATAAAATTGATGCTGACACTGCATAAAACTTGATACTGACACTGTAATGTCTATCCCTAACTTTGCCTTCAGAAGCTCCAGCTGATTCTTCATTTAAGTCGTCAAATTCATAGAAGAAGAGAGTAGACCTTTTTCGACCTTGTTTTGAAGAAGGCTTCGGAAGACGTTATTACCAGTTTGTATTATATAGGCATCAGAATTTTCTGTCATCTCTTGCTTCTAATGATAGGTTACTGGCTCTAATTTGAACAATTTAGACTTCTTGAAATCAAATATGAAAAGGAGGAATAGAAACTTAACTAGTTGTAGTGACCATGATTGCCCTTTTAACAATGGAGCTACTTAGCTTTCTTGTGGGATTATTGTTGTGTGAGGAAGTCCCAAACTTTTTTAACTTTTTCTTCTTTATAAAAAAGATAGCTCTTTATGATAGAACAGCAGAGAAATGACAAACTTCAGTTTTAAAGCAGATGGATTTACGGCTGCCTATGCTTCATTTTCCATATATAGTTGGCATTTATAGCACCTACACATTATTTTCATCCATTTATATTTTCTTTTCTTGTTCTTAATAAGGTCAGTGTGCTAAGAGATTTATGTGCCAGTAGATGTTCTAAACCTGTTTACCTTTTCTCCCTCCTTACATATGCTGATATTACTGCAGAAAAGGAGACCTTCTGGTTATTCTTGGCATCAAAGAAGACAATCTGTCAATCTAGATGATGAAATAAAAGAAGAGGAGTTTGTCATTGGAACTGCTATGCCAACAGGAGAACTTGAGGTTCAAGCAAGCTCAAATTCTGCACTCTCCACCTCACTGCAAGTGCAAGTCTCTTATCAGACCAAAGAGAATTTGAAAGAGGAATGGGCTGCGACAGTTATTCAAACTGTTTTTCGAGCTTTCCTGGTATTACATGCTGCTACAGTAACTCCAATCCAATGTTATACTAATATAATAATTGCCGGTCAATTTTCTGTTTTGCAAGCTTGTTTGACAATAGTCGAGTCAAAAGAATTTGTGGTAGCACTATAAAATTTGCTTCACATTCCTTGTTGCATATGATTATAGATGGAAAAAAGTTTTTTTTGGTTTGTATTTTATATTTGTTATTAGTATCCCTTGTTACTTTTGCCTTTTCTAGTCAGTAACTGAAATGATCCGACAATTGTTGAAGTCAGCAATTGTAATGCTTGTTCATGTAGTTATTTTGCGTTGACTAACAGATGAGAGAAGGATCCCCGCATATTATCATGTAAGGTTAGCATCCAGCAGCCATACATTTTCTGAGTTTGTAATAGCAACTATTGTCCTATATAATCCTTTTGTAGACTTGTAACTTTGGGGTTTAAGCAATTTTCATGCACCTTAATCCATCATTAAGAAGTGATGGTGGGGTATTCGAAAATTTGTTCGTTTTCCACCCGTTGCCATTATCTTACCTTGAGATTCATATCTTGCATCCTTCACTTGACCTCATTTTTATCTTCAACTGCTGATGCGCAATACTGTGTCTTATATTTATAGATAAAACAAATATTGCATATGCTTTTGGATAATATTAGAACTTCTATATCGTGTTTCTAGGCCAGACGAGCATTGCGAGCTTTAAAAGGATTGGTCAGACTTCAGGCCCTCGTTCGAGGTCATGCTGTTAGGAAGCAAGCTGCAGTAACTCTTCGCTGTATGCAAGCCTTGGTTAGAGTTCAGGCTCGTGTCAGAGCAAGGCGAGTCCGGATGACACTAGAAAATCAAATAGAACAGCAAAAGGTTCAGCAACAACTTGTAAATGAAGCTCATGTTCGCGAAGTAGAGGTAAGTTACTCCATAATATCTAAAGCCAAAACAATTTGCTTCAAAGTTCTTCTTTTTAATTCTATTAACGTCAAGAAGTAAACTGATACAACTCTTCTAGAAATTTTGAGTAGTTGTGTGCAGTATTTGCTTTTTAGGAAGTTTGGTCCCGGACAAGAAGGAATGTTACGTTAAGGAAATGCCCGAACTTCTCAAGCAAGAGAACCAAAGGAAATTCTAGGCACATATGATGTGGATTAGATGTAATTAGTGCGCTTGTGTTGTAACTTATATTCTGCTCTGGCTACCTCCATAGAACTGATTTTCTGTGCATCATTAACCTCATTATCTTCTACTGTATTGTAGTCTCATTATCTTCTACTGTATTGGAGTCACCACTGTTGTCACTAGTTCTAACCATTTGATACTTTCCAATTTGGGTACATGCATTGACATTATGGTAACGTCTAACATGTATTTCAAAGATTAAGATCTTAAATTCCGATGATGTTCATAGTTGTCAATTTTCACTGCCTTTCTCACCTGAAAGATAACTTTTCCCAGTTTTCAACAAAAAATGGAAACTAAAAGCATGCGATAGGAATTAAGAATTGCTGTTTATGCTCCTTGCCTACAGAGGTCATGTAAATCCGTCGCTGAATTTATTATGCTGGCAACCACTTCATAAGAAGCTTTTGTTAAGTAATCAGGCCAACAAGGCGTATAAAATTTGCCAGTTATGATGGCATATTTTACTCCTGTATATTTCTCATCTATGCATGCACTCTGCAAGCATACTATTCGTTTGATAATAATGACCTATTGGCTCAGCAGGGATAAACAGATTTTTGACTTGACCTAGCTGAACTCACACTCTGAGCCTCACTCTGAACCTGAGGCATTACTAGCTATGTGAAGTATGACAACTAATAATGTATGCGTTTGTCATTAGCAAGTCAAGTCTGATACTAGCAGTTGATATTTGGTTACTCACGGCTTACAAACAGTGGTCTAAGCATTTTAATGGCCTTCAAGGGTGGATGCTGTTCCTACATGTTCCTTTTGTTTTAATTGAAATAGAAAAGGAGACTTTAATTTTTAAGTTAAGATTGCTTCTCGAACTTTTCTCAGCTTCTAATGAAAGATGGTTGGTATCGAAGCAGAATACTCTTCCAAGTAACAAACTTAGCTAGAGCCCTGAGATAATCAGTTTGTTTCCTTGCTTGTTTGCAAGGGGCTGGGATTTAACGTACAAACATTCTCTTCATTTTGAATTCTTTTTGTCTTTTTGATTGTGGCAACTGTCGGTCATAATGATATGGAAAACTTAATGGATATTATGTTGTGAGAGGTCAACATAGTAAAGCTTAGAAGCATTTGTGCTTTGTTGCTTGTATCTGATAGCATGTTCTTATTACTTGTCATTGCCACTGTCTTTTCTGTTCATGGCCAGATGTGGGATTTTTCTGTACATGTGAGACATATATGTGTAAGCTAATGCTTATTCTGTCTACTTATGTTCTTGTATTATTGATAACAAGAACTACCAGAACCAGTTCTTATTACTGCCATGCGATGAGTTTGCGTAATTGTAACTGTTAGTTCTCATAGATTGGATTAAATGCAGGAAGGATGGTGTGATAGTGTTGGATCCGTGGAAGATATTCAAGCAAAGCTGGTAAAGAGGCAGGAAGCTGCAGCCAAGCGGGAGAGAGCTATGGCATATGCTCTGACCCATCAGGTACATTTCAAAAGAGGCCAACACCAAGAGGGACTAAACTGTTTTCCTCTAAACTGAATTTCACTATGTTACGATTTAATGCTGTATAACTTGAGGGTTCTATTGGAGAACCACTGCCTTTAATATGAGGACGTTTCCACTGATCAGTTATTTTATGGAATGTAGAAATCTGACAATCTTCTCTTGTCTGTTCGAAGATGTCTAAATATTCCCAAATTGCAACATGTTCTGGGATATGAATCTAGATGTATTTGTTTATGCTGATTGATGGAAGAGATACTAAAAAAACCAATATATCATCTGGATGGTCGTATATTGATCTATCAGCTTACCTCTATCCTGCCTTTATGAATCCCTCTGTTTTCGTCGATTTTCTCAAATGACGAGTAAATTCAAACTGGTATTACATTGCGCTTGTAAGTTTCTCAAACAGCGCAATTATATGATAAACGAAATCTTTGCTTGAATAGTAGTAAGAACGATCGTTTCTTTAATTTGTCGCTCTGTGCAATTTTTTCTCTATCCTCCATCTAACGTTAATTAAGACATTATTTCTCTTCTTTTATGCTGCAGTGGCAAGCTGGTGCTAAGCAGCTAGCTGCCCCCAAAGGATTTGAACCGGATAAAAACAACTGGGGTTGGAATTGGTTAGAGCGGTGGATGGCTGTTCGTCCATGGGAGAATCGGTTTCTAGATACTAATGCTAAGGATGGGATGATGACTGAGAATGGGTCAACAGAGGGTACTAATGGAGGCAAAACACAGATCAGATCCCATGGCAAAAAATCCATTACAACACTTCATTCAAATATCTCAAATCTTAAAACAGGCCCTTCTCTGTCTGAGGGAACCGGTTCTTCTTCAAGCCGGTCGGTAAGCTTGCTAGGTTCGTCTGTTCCATCAGTTAAGCTGAAGGCAAAGCCATCATATGAGGAGGCCACTGGAGAAGCAATCTCTAGACCCTCTGGTATTGGTCCTCGTTCCAATAGCACTCCAAAAGAGAGGCCAGTACAGATAGATTCTCAGGCTAAAAAGAGGCTGTCATTGCAAGGGAATGGTATGTTGTTTCCTTTGTGTTTTCTTATTTATTTCATAAATTCTTTGGAATGGTTTTGAGAAAGTATTGCTCTTTCTTTAATTAGTTTTATCACATCATATTCTATAGCAGATGCTTCTGCTGTTTTTAAGCCTTTTAAAAATTTGATTCAGAGCACATTATAAGCAGCAAAATGGGAATAAATGTGGAATTAAATGATATGCCTTCTTCCACTGCGATATACCCCCTGGTTATATATGGTATGCAAGATTTTTCTTGAGAACCTTGGATTGTATGTAGATTCTTGTGTTTGGCATAAACACAACTCAAGCTTCCCAGGAATTTTGGATTCCATGGACATCATGTTTCTCCATTAGGCGTGAATGAGATTATCTTTTCGATATGAGAGCGTGCTACGTTCCAAGCAAGTCTTAATTTTCAGAGGGCCATTACTCATCTTTTCTTTTGTTTCTTCCCTTCCCAGCACCACCGCTATCAACATATTCTAAACTTAACCGCAAAGAGAAGATATTGATAGTCTAACCTAAGTACCTAATATTTTACCATTCCTCGAACATCAGTTAAGCCTTTGCTATTGAAGTCTACTTTTGTTGCTCATTGACTTTGAATTTGCTTAAGCTTAGTCACTGAATTGATATGAACAGGCGGCACAACAGGTAAACGCACTGTGAACAGGATCTTAGCGAACAGGTCAGCTAATGCTCAGAAATCAGCCAAAGAAGCAGCCAGATCAGAAGTAAATCATAATCTTAATCCTGCAGACTCCATTCCTAAAAGAGTTGAACTTCAGACATGAGAAGCATTCTACCATTCTATGCTTAAATTATGGGTTCTCGCGTTGTATATACATAATGTCAACCTTTTCTACAAAAGGTCATAACGAGAGGGCGGAAGAAACTATCACCATTTCCTGTACGGATAACATTGTAAGAGCCAGCCCGTCGTTGTATAATTTGTTGTAACAGTGTGGGTATTTATTTATTCTCTTTGAATTTCGGCTTTGTGGGGTTCCATATTGTTCCAGGCTTCATCTGTTGTTGAGTAGGCACCAGCATTTTGTGTTCAATTCTATGTATTGTGATGAGACGATTTAAGATATATTTTAAGGTATCACTTGTCATAAGATTAGGTTTTTCACTTTTTTGTGTAATGAATGGAGAATGTTATCAGCAATCAAAGTGTTAGCATGCTATTGGGCCATTTCAGTAGAGATCTACAGCCTGGGACTCGTCAATCAACCGCTCCTTTGTGCAACGGAGAGCACCTTTATTGTTGGCTTATTTCACCTGTACCTGTCGTTTGTGTTTCTACAAATCCAGTCGAAATTGATTGCGACGGTAACTGTCTTTTGTAAATAACAATTATAATAGCTGCAGCCATAATTTTTATGGACCACACAGGCTAACGCTCCGAATCACGGGTTTTTGCAAGAAACTTGCATATATAGATTACAAGTAACAAGAGCATGCATCCAAGAAAAATAACTACATTTAAGGGGAAATCATTATAATACATGTGGAGTTGTATCGGGATTTGAATTTTAAAATCTTAGTCCTAAACCCCCTTGAACTTTCAGCCTTTTGCAATAAACCCCAAAGAACTTTCAAAATCACACACTATAAATCCCAATGAACTTTAGCAGAAAACCCCATACTAACACCATTGAGTCTGACTTGACACGTGCAATGCACATGACTAAAAAAGACCAAAATGCCCTTTAACTTATTAAAATTTTTATTTGTGATCTTTTTCTATATATATTCCGCCCTTATTATAAATCTCTCGTTTTTATCCCCCACCCTCCAAACTCTTCTCTTTAGATCATGCCCAGACTCGTTGGTTTCAAAGTTTTTTTAATAAAAATTGACTCAACTCCGGCAAAGCTCCAATTTCGACGAAGTCCTAGACCCGACCGATTCCCTCAATACCTTTTGCTCGGTATTTTTTTTTTACAGTTGGGGGAAAATGGGGACAAAAGATGAAGGCGTTATAAGATTTTAAGTGGGAGGGTCTTTTTTTAAGTCGTGGGTATTTTAGTCCGCACAAAAAGTAAACTGATGTTAGATCTACATCATAAAACTTAAGATCTAAAACCATATAGCCATGATTAATTCAAAGAGATTAACAAAAATCTAAAAGAGCGGAAGCTTATACCTGAATCCATTGCTTGATCTTGATTTTGGGTTTTGGATCTTCTAACCTTAGGGTTTTCTCTTTAGTCGAATTTCTCTCTTAGATGGGGGTGAAGAGAATTAGAGAATGTAGTAACCCTAGATTAGGGACCATAACCCCTTATTTATAGATGTTGTACTTTTGTAATTTAGCCCCTCAATAAATCACAATTACAACCTGGTATCTGCACATATAACCCCATGATTATATTTAAATACCCATTAACCCAACTTAATTGATCACTTTAGTGGGTTATCCTGAAAGATAGCAATACACATTGATTAATCATATGTGCCCACAAATAGATTTATTAGATTAAATCTAACAATCTCCCACTTGGGCACCATATGATTCCTTAAATTGTGTATAACCTTATGAGCTCAAAAATTGCTATCACTGAAAAGGTATTTCCGAACAATCTCGTCCATTGACTATATCAATATAGGATCAAAGCGGCCTTCGTCACATTAATCGTGACTCGACCCATCAATGGTCACATATACTAATACAATCAAATGACATAGATCAATCATGGATGTGCAGCATGAAAATTACATGCAATGTGATCAGTACATGTCTATTTTCAACTGGTCCTCCTTAGTGAGGTCAAAACCAAACATAATGATGAACGCAGAGTTCAACCTGAGTACGAACGCAATGTTCGACCTGAGAACGAACGCAAGGTTCGTTTAAAAAATGAACGCAGAGTTCAACCTGAGTACGAACGCAATGTTCGACCTGAGAACGAACGCAAGGTTCGTTTAAAAAATGAACGCAGAGTTCAACCTGAGTACGAACGCAATGTTCGATCTGAGAACGAACGCAAGGTTCGTTTAAAAAATGAACGCAGAGTTCAACCTGAGTACGAACGCAATGTTCGACCTGAGAACGAACGCAAAGTTCGTTAAAAATGAACGCAGAGTTCAACCTGAGTACGAACGCAATGTTCGACCTGAGAACGAACGCAAAGTTCGTTAAAAAATGAACGCAGAGTTCAACCTGAGTACGAACGCAATGTTCGACCTGAGAACGAACGCAAAGTTCGTTAAAAAATGAACGCAGAGTTCAACCTGAGTACGAACGCAATGTTCGACCTGAGAACGAACGCAAAGTTCGTTAAAAAATGAACGCAGAGTTCAACCTGAGTACGAACGCAATGTTCGACCTGAGAACGAACGCAAAGTTCGTTAAAAAATGAACGCAGAGTTCAACCTGAGTACGAACGCAATGTTCGATCTGAGAACGAACGCAAGGTTCGTTTAAAAAATGAACGCAGAGTTCAACCTGAGTACGAACGCAATGTTCGATCTGAGAACGAACGCAAGGTTCGTTTAAAAAATGAACGCAGAGTTCAACCTGAGTACGAACGCAATGTTCGACCTGAGAACGAACGCAAAGTTCGTTAAAAATGAACGCAGAGTTCAACCTGAGTACGAACGCAATGTTCGACCTGAGAACGAACGCAAAGTTCGTTAAAAAATGAACGCAGAGTTCAACCTGAGTACGAACGCAATGTTCGACCTGAGAACGAACGCAAAGTTCGTTAAAAAATGAACGCAGAGTTCAACCTGAGTACGAACGCAATGTTCGACCTGAGAACGAACGCAAAGTTCGTTAAAAATGAACGCAGAGTTCAACCTGAGTACGAACGCAATGTTCGACCTGAGAACGAACGCAAAGTTCGTTAAAAAATGAACGCAGAGTTCAACCTGAGTACGAACGCAATGTTCGACCTGAGAACGAACGCAAAGTTCGTTAAAAAATGAACGCAGAGTTCAACCTGAGTACGAACGCAATGTTCGACCTGAGAACGAACGCAAAGTTCGTTAAAAAATGAACGCAGAGTTCAACCTGAGTACGAACGCAATGTTCGACCTGAGAACGAACGCAAAGTTCGTTAAAAAATGAACGCAGAGTTCAACCTGAGTACGAACGCAATGTTCGACCTGAGAACGAACGCAAAGTTCGTTAAAAATGAACGCAGAGTTCAACCTGAGTACGAACGCAATGTTCGACCTGAGAACGAACGCAAAGTTCGTTAAAAATGAACGCAGAGTTCAACCTGAGTACGAACGCAATGTTCGACCTGAGAACGAACGCAAAGTTCGTTAAAAAATGAACGCAGAGTTCAACCTGAGTACGAACGCAATGTTCGACCTGAGAACGAACGCAAAGTTCGTTAAAAAATGAACGCAGAGTTCAACCTGAGAACGAACGCAAAGTTCGTTAAAAAATGAACGCAGAGTTCAACCTGAGAACGAACGCAAAGTTCGTTAAAAAATGAACGCAGAGTTCAACCTGAGAACGAACGCAAAGTTCGTTAAAAATGAACGCAGAGTTCAACCTGAGTACGAACGCAATGTTCGACCTGAGAACGAACGCAAAGTTCGTTAAAAATGAACGCAGAGTTCAACCTGAGAACGAACGCAAAGTTCGTTAAAAATGAACGCAGAGTTCAACCTGAGAACGAACGCAAAGTTCGTTAAAAAATGAACGCAGAGTTCAACCTGAGTACGAACGCAATGTTCGACCTGAGAACGAACGCAAAGTTCGTTAAAAATGAACGCAGAGTTCAACCTGAGTACGAACGCAATGTTCGACCTGAGAACGAACGCAAAGTTCGTTAAAAAATGAACGCAGAGTTCAACCTGAGTACGAACGCAATGTTCGACCTGAGAACGAACGCAAAGTTCGTTAAAAAATGAACGCAGAGTTCAACCTGAGTACGAACGCAATGTTCGACCTGAGAACGAACGCAAAGTTCGTTAAAAATGAACGCAGAGTTCAACCTGAGTACGAACGCAATGTTCGACCTGAGAACGAACGCAAAGTTCGTTAAAAAATGAACGCAGAGTTCAACCTGAGTACGAACGCAATGTTCGATCTGAGAACGAACGCAAGGTTCGTTTAAAAAATGAACGCAGAGTTCAACCTGAGTACGAACGCAATGTTCGACCTGAGAACGAACGCAAAGTTCGTTAAAAATGAACGCAGAGTTCAACCTGAGTACGAACGCAATGTTCGACCTGAGAACGAACGCAAAGTTCGTTAAAAAATGAACGCAGAGTTCAACCTGAGTACGAACGCAATGTTCGACCTGAGAACGAACGCAAAGTTCGTTAAAAAATGAACGCAGAGTTCAACCTGAGAACGAACGCAAAGTTCGTTAAAAAATGAACGCAGAGTTCAACCTGAGAACGAACGCAAAGTTCGTTAAAAAATGAACGCAGAGTTCAACCTGAGTACGAACGCAATGTTCGATCTGAGAACGAACGCAAGGTTCGTTTAAAAAATGAACGCAGAGTTCAACCTGAGTACGAACGCAATGTTCGACCTGAGAACGAACGCAAAGTTCGTTAAAAATGAACGCAGAGTTCAACCTGAGAACGAACGCAAAGTTCGTTAAAATTGAACGCAGAGTTCATCCTTGAGTACGAACGCAATGTTCGACCTGAGAACGAACGCAAAGTTCGTTAAAAAATGAACGCAGAGTTCAACCTGAGTACGAACGCAATGTTCGACCTGAGAACGAACGCAAAGTTCGTTAAAAATGAACGCAGAGTTCAACCTGAGTACGAACGCAATGTTCGACCTGAGAACGAACGCAAAGTTCGTTAAAAAATGAACGCAGAGTTCAACCTGAGAACGAACGCAAAGTTCGTTAAAAAATGAACGCAGAGTTCAACCTGAGTACGAACGCAATGTTCGACCTGAGAACGAACGCAAAGTTCGTTAAAAATGAACGCAGAGTTCAACCTGAGAACGAACGCAAAGTTCGTTAAAAAATGAACGCAGAGTTCAACCTGAGAACGAACGCAAAGTTCGTTAAAAAATGAACGCAGAGTTCAACCTGAGTACGAACGCAATGTTCGACCTGAGAACGAACGCAAAGTTCGTTAAAAAATGAACGCAGAGTTCAACCTGAGAACGAACGCAAAGTTCGTTAAAAAATGAACGCAGAGTTCAACCTGAGAACGAACGCAAAGTTCGTTAAAAAATGAACGCAGAGTTCAACCTGAG